AAGACTTGAGCCAATCCTGGGATTCATTGAGTCCTGAGATGAAGGCATTGGAGTCTAAGGTATCGCTAATTGTATCTGTTTTTACTATCCATTGGATCCACGATAAGAGCCGACTAATGCATGTCGTGAGCAAACTATTGGCCAAAAACGGGGAATTTGTTGCCTATTATGTGCGGACACCAGATATCATGTCAATGATAACCAGCGAACAGATAACTCAGTATAATATTAAAGTTAGTTTCTAATAAAGGATGTCAGATAATATGACCTATCTGATTTAAATGTGAGTGGTATTATCGTGATCGGTAAAGTGGGGTTTGTTTTATAAAAAAGAAACGAGCTACAAACGCCCAACTTATGACCACATTTCTAATCACTTGCCTTAGAGACAAACCACTCCACAATACCACACACGTCTGGATCACCTAGGTCATATTCCCTTGCTTGTTTTCGTAAAACATATATTTAAACATGATATTTTTTAAGAATTAAATAATAATTGGTGTCTGTTAATCACAATACAGTGTTTGTTAATAAATTAATCTAATTTTGCTAAAATAACCATATATATCAATAATATTATATTATACTCTAATAATTAAATACAGTTAGAGACAAAGTCGGAAGAGAAACAGCTAGATGAAATGCGCCAAGCTTGTTCGGACAACGGCATGCAAATTACCAAGCTTAATGTCGATCTTTATGCAAACTATTTGCACAAATACAATATGAACCGTACGTTACTTATAAAGTATAATATACTACTTTGATTAAATGATTATTAAATCAATTTGTAAAATTGGTTGTTAATTATAAACCTTTCTACCGAGCTATTAATGTCCTAGTATGCAATAAAAGAAACAACTGTAGGCACTAAAATACGAGTTTCCTAACACTAATATATTGATTATGATTTTGTTAAATTTAAGCCAATTTAAATGGACCTAGCAACTTTGGTCCCGCATTTCATGTGGAGGACAAGACATCGCCGGCGTTTGCATTCATGAAGAATATAATGTTTGACATAGCGTTACGTCCGGACGCGACTGCTCTTAACCCTCGCGCCTACGACCAGTTGGCCGACAAATGGGACCCAAACGGACCCATTGTTCCCATCTATGTTCACGGCATACACTTAATGAGTTATAAACTATAATTGTTTATTAGTTAGTTATAATTACTAAATATTATTCATTAATAAACATTATTATTAATAGTTACTATTATTAGTATTAGTTATAGATAATTATTAGAATATT